GGAGCAGCCAACTATTTAGTGAAGGAAAAAAGCAAAAACTAATGTGATGGGGCCCAAAGCTTGGGATTGGTACCAAATAGGTCTAAACAAAAGCCCAGAGATGCCCTGAAGAGGGAGAAAGAGTGAATAATGCCCACTGTAGGATTGGAGAGGGTGTCAATAAGGCTTGTTTGAATGGAAGCTGAAGAATGAGTAAGAACGGTAGCAGGTACAGGGGGTGCAGAGCCTCCTAGGCCAAGAGTACATAGAAGAGTCTGGAACACCCCCCCCCAGGGGGATAGTGGGGCAGGGACAGAAATGTGGGACATGGAAGAGGTGTAATGTCATGAGAATGTCCCCAGAGCAAGTGATCTTTCATGAAGCGGGGAGACATGAAGAGGTTACCAGGCAAAGCATGTGGCTGAGGGCGAGAGCAATGGGGAGAAGCTGCAGAGAGCAGCAGCGCGAGAAGGCCGGGAAATGGGAAGGGATGTGGTTTTTTCAGGGAGCTGAGGGGCTGAGAGGAGGTAAACAGGAGCAAGGTTGCACCGCTCCTTGAAGATTTTAGATTGGGAAGGCAGAGGAGTGACAGACTGGGTTTGAGAAGCTTTCTCAGGACCAGGCACAGGGGCTCCTGCCTGTAATCCCAGTACTGAGGGAGACGGAGGTGGGAGGATAGCTTGAGACCAGGAGTTTGATACCAGCCTAGATAACATAGGTAGACCCCATCTCTTTTTTTTTTCCTTTTTTTTTTTTTTTTGATCATTTTACAAAACAAGTTAGACCCCATCTCTACAAAAAAAATTTTAAAGTTAGCCAGGTGTGATGGCGCATGCCTGTGGGCCCAACTACTAGGGAGGTTGAGGCACAAGGATCGCTTGAGTCCAAAAGTTCAAGGCTGCAGTAAGCTATGATTGCACCACTACACTCCAGCCTAGCAACAGAGCAAAACCCTGTCTCCAGAAAAAAAAGAAGAAGCTTTCTTTATGAGAATGGGTTGACCATGGTGTGAAGTAGGGGAGGACCAAAAGGAAGCCAGACAGCCCAGAGAGAAGGCAGAGGCAGGCCACACTAGATATGCCACTTCTGAGTACTGAGCTTTGGGCTCAGCATCCAGTTTACATGTGGGTGCTCGGTACTTTTAATCCTGATTGGGCATTTAAAAAATCAATGGGGAAAGATGAGGCAAATAGTTCTAAATATGTTTCTGCTTCAGTGGCTTCCCAGAGCGCTAATGTCACCAGAGAGTGTGTAGAGGGTGAAGGATTTTCAACTAATGCCACGTGGTACTTCTCTTCACCTTCAGGGCCACCTCAGAGACAGAGACAGGTGGAAGGATTAGATAACTTATTTGCACCCCTGATAGTGTGCTGTGCAGGGAAGGAGAGCCACCACCATACTAATGAGACATGACTGTCACGTTTCTAACTTATTATAAATCCACAGACTTCTAGATTTTAAGTGGCTTCCCAAAAGCAGCTTGTACAGAGGAGCCAGAGGTTTCTTTGAGCTGCGAGGCTCTGAGGGAGGTAGAGCAAGCTTGCGCTCTGTGGAAACGGCAGTAAGAGCAGCCTCCCTGCACCCCCGCTGCCACTCTCCTGGGCCTGTCTTTGTCTCACTGAGAAATAGCCAAATCATCTTGCCCAGGTAGGGGAGTGTCAGCCAGTGGCCTTGCATCCCTGAGTTGCCATATTTCAGGGTCCCAGCCCAGTGTACAGGCCAACCTAATGGACATACCAGGGGGTGGGGAGGAATAATGCACTGCTTTCCTTCACCCCAGCCCTTCCTGCTTCCCCATGAACATTTGATGATGCCAGCCCCAGGATCTGCGCGGGACACATCTAAAAGGGAACAAAGGGCCTGGCCCAGCCCGAGCCACACTCCACCCCATTTTCCATTGTCATTGAAAGTGGCTGGCCCTGCCCCAGGCCAGGCACCTGCTAGGGTTGCTGGCCACTCCTGGGGAAGTCCTCTGTGTTTCTGATTTTTCCCTGTATGGCACTTGGTCTAGAGGGCTGGGGTAGGAGTTGCGACGTCAAGGAGAAAGCCAAAGAGCTGTCACCCTGCGGGGCTAACTGGACTCAACATGGAGAGCAGAAGACCCTTGAAACAAGCAGAAAACACATGGAGCAGAATCCCACAGCCTAGGCCTGGCACTACCACCAGAAAGCAAACAAGAGACTGGTCCTCAGGGAGGTTCTGTGCCCAGAGGGAGGGGCAGAGCCACTCTCGGGTTGGGACTTCCCCAGCCATACAGAGCAGGTTTTTATTTTATTTATTTTTTAAAATTATTTTTCCCCCTGCAGTATTTCAGGACAGAGCAGGTTTTTAAAGACTCCATCCCTCCAATTCTAACCTCTCCTTTGTCCAGCCTGATTTTACTAGCAAGGGTATCCAAAGCTTTCAACCACAAGGACACTGCTAGGGGAGGAGCAGTGGCATCGCTAGGCCACTGCCATGTGCCAGATTCTCCTAGACCCATTTGGTCTTAGGGTCCTCCTGGCCCTGAGTGGGCTCTGAATTCCCTCAGGCTCCCTAATGGCATTTTGAGAAGAGGGGAGTTTACTCCTATGAGGTGGGGTTTGAGGGCTCAACCATTCTCTCTGTGTTCCTCTAGCCACACTGCCAGTCACAGTAAAGGAGGAGCTGCTGGTCCCTCTACCATTGGATGGTACTGTCACCTGCAGTGGAATAGTGGGAGCCTGACCCAATTTGGAACACAATTAAATTCGCTTCCCTGTGAGGCTGTTTTGGTGAAAGCCAGAGGGTTTGGTTTTCACTCCTATTATGCTCATTTTAAGTAAAGCTTGCAATTCAAACGAATTCTCCAAGGCTAGAGGAATTGTTCCTCTGCATTTTTTCTTTTCATTAAATGCCTTCCATTCTGCCGCTTAACATTTGCTGGTGGGAGGGTCTGCCTGAAGGCCCCTAAAGCTCTTCCCTGGGCCACTCAAGGAGAAGTGGTCAGCAGGGTCAGGAGGAGCTGCGCTGCAAGGCAAGGCTCTGTTGTGGCCAGGTGCCCACCTGCTGCCTGCTGATTCCCGCCTGACATCCCTGTCTCCAGCCACACTATTCTGCTATACCCTGTCCCTAAGGTAAGCTAGGCTCCAGGGATGTGAAGCCACCTGGGCAGGACCACCCCCCAACAGCCTGTGGGATGAGAGGGTAAACAATGGTGCTGCTTTGTCTTGTGATCTGAGTGGGGAAAGCAGGCATTTGGGAACTGGGCCTTTTACGCCTTTTCTAACCCCTTTGGGAGCTACTCTTTCCTGGGTAGGCCCTAAAGTCCCATCCAGCCCCACTGTCACAGCAAGGAAGGAAGGAGAGGTGGCCTGAAAGCCTTGGCTTGGGAATAGCTCTGTCAAACACCCAGCACCTTAGTGAGATGATCTGGAAACACCCAGGCATCCTCAGGACCAGAGAGGCCTCCCCTTCCCCCACCGGGGATGTGGAACAGATGAGAGGGCATCAAAGAGGAGGAGGCCCCTTCACTGAGGGATGCCCTGCCTCCCACCTCAGGCTGGTGTTGAGTGCCAAGCCCCATCACCAGTCAGCCAGTCCCAGTTTTGGAAGTCAGTGCTGGGGCTTGCTTGCTAGAAAGATCCTGGCCTGGGCGGCAAGACTAGTCTGGCGTCTAGTCTGCAGAAGCCCCCTCCACTCTCTGGGCGTTCCTCAGCTATAAAATTACGGAGTCAGATGAGCTACTCTCTAAGGTTCTGCCTGGCCCTGCCTTTTCTGATATTCTGAGCCAGAGCCCAGAATGACTTGCCTTGGTAGCCCCTGTTCGCAGGCTGAGAGCTGAGGCCTGGCTCTAGGGCCTCTGCCAAGGCTTGGCCCAGGCGGAGTCGGCTCCTGCTGTGAAAGTAGAGAGGGGGCCGAGTCTCCAAACCCGGCACTGATCACAGGAAAGCAAGCTTAGATGTCAGGTCTCCCGTCAGGCTCAGCTAAAAGGCTTTGGACTTACCTCAGGAGTCTCCTCAGACAGAACGGCTCTGTGCTCACAGAAGGGAATTTATGTGTCCCTTTTTCTGGGCAGGACTGCCAGGGGAAGGGGAGAGATGAGCAGTGTGTGGCATGCAGTGGGCTGATAACACTGAGCAGATCACTGGGGTGTGAATGTCATTATCCCCATCATCGTCAACCAGGTCATATTGGTACAAAAGGTGTCTTTATTGAGGTCTGGGTTAGAATTAGGCACTTGGCCAGAGCAGCAGCTTAAATATGAGGCAAGCAGGCAGGGGTTAGCCATGCCCGGGGTTGGGTTGGGGTCGTGAGGCTACAGGCATAGACTGTCCCCAGGTGGACAGAAGTTGGGGTGGGAAAAGGAGGAGGAAGGGGCCAAGGAGCAGCCTGGGTCAGAGGCCTGGTGGGCCGGCCCAGTGGGACTAGGCAGGAAGCTCTGGGTGGCAGGTCCAGCAGGGGGGGAACCAGGCTCTCTTGCTCCATGTGCCCCTTAGACCCAGGCCTGAGCCTCTGGCAGGAGCAGCCGCACTTGGGGCTACGGTCTTCCCAAGCCTCACTTCTTCACTTTGGTGTCATAGGTGCCCGCGTTCTTGTAGGCACTCACATAGCCACTGTCGTCCAGGATGTCCTGCCGTCCCGCAATGCCCTTGCCCTTGCCACTCTCATCAAAGCGCTCCTTGTGGGAACCTGTGTACCTGCTGGTGTCTGTCAGCCGGTCCACAGCACCCCCTGTTTTTGCTTTCTGTTTGGACAGAGTTTCCCCAGGGACACCTGGTGAGAGAGCCCAGCCCTTCCCACCGACAGTCAAGATTCCCCACACCCGCTTCCCTGACCACCCGAGACCAGCAGGGCACTTACAGTGACGCCCACATTGGCTGGCTCTTTGCCCGCCACCAGCTGGCAGATGGCATCAAAGGCCTCCTCCTTGCTCTTCCCCTTGAATCGCTTGGTTGCCAGCTCTTCCAGGGCCTTCTTGAACTCCTCATAGTTGATGACCCGAGCAGACTTCCCCCTACCAGGCATGTGGGCATCATCAGTGTTCCCCTTTTTTTTTCCCCCTGGGGAAAGCACAAACACAGTCCCCGCCACCACAATTTATGCAATTGAGTTTCTTTCCCATATTTGGGGAAATCTCAGGAGTCAGCACCTCTGGAGGACAATAGATAAGGTTTGTCCTGGAAGAATGATCTTTGTGATCATGGTATTTCCCTGACCCCTTCTCTATGTCCTCCCTGGTTCTAGCCCCCCCAGTTCCCCACCCCCTGGGAACATGAGAAGCAGGGGCTGCCTAGGGCTCACTTGACTTTGGAGAAGACGATGTCCACATCAGTCCCTGTCACAGCCTTTCCGTCAGCCACCTTGCAGTCCTTGCACAGCTTGGCCCAGTTCTTGCCATTCATCTCTTGCCCACTGGCCTTGGGGTCGCCATGGATGGCAAACTTGCGGAAACTCTCCTCCAGTCCAGCGATGTCTGTGCTCGCTGCCATGCCACCCTGTAGAGACCCACCTGGGTCACCTCCCAGCCAAGCTGCCCTTCCCCTTCCCCAAGCCCAGAACATTCTGGCCTCTACCCAAAACTTGCAAGACCTGGGCAGGCTCTGCTACAGACAGTCGGAGCTGGAGCTGCCTGGGGAGAGGGGCCAGTCACTCTTGTCCTGGGCCTCAGAACCCCCAGGAAGATCCCCGGGAGGCACAGTCTTGTCACTAATGCCAGCCCTGGCTCTGAGCAGGGTTCAGCAGATGAAATCATGATGCCCACAGTAGGCTAGGAACAGAGTGGCACTGTCCAGAAAGACTGTGAGGGCAGCAGCTGGGGCCCTGGCTTTGTCTGACCCTGGCACAAGGCCTGCTTGGATGGAAGTGAGGGTGGCAGAGCAGGCCCCCTCCCTGGAAGCGCCACGCCAAGCTGGGTTGGGGCCAGGCAGGCTGCTGGTTGGACAGGCATTTAATGAGGATGGCGTCTCTGAGAGGGTCATGAGGACCCAGCAAGAGCCAGTCTGGGCAGGGGTGCATGCCTTGGGCAAGGGTGCAGCTGGCCCAGCAGGGCCTTGTTACTATTTGCTATTAAACAAAAACATGAGGGGAGCAGGAGCTTGGGGCTGGCCTGGCCACAGTTTGTGAAGCCTGGAGACGGTTGCTAAGGGAGGGTAGTGCTGCTTGGAGAATGTTGCTAAGGGCAGGATGGTGTCAGGGCGGCTCAGGGAGAAGCTCCCAGTGCTGAGGGGCTGGGCTGGGCTGGGCTGGGCTGGGGATCTGGAGCCACGGGTGGGGCACGCCAGCACTCCCTGTGCCTGGGGCATAACCGTGGCTTCCTGGTCCCTTGCCACCCACTAGGGCTGTAACCTTCCACTGTGGTGTTTTAGGGGAACAGGAGGTTAGGGGCTAGTTGAGGTGGGGTCTGTAGAGTTACAAACCCCAAGATTCGTGCTGGCAAGTGGGGATGTGGCTGAAACACACTTCCTCATGTCTACACCACAGCCCTCCATTGAGGCCCCTGGCCACGCCCTGAACTCAGCCACACATTCCCAGCGATCCTGTGCACTCAGCTCTGGCCTGTCACGCCCTGGGCCTTGTACCCCTGGCCATACCTTCAGCCTTACACTGCAGCCTCCTCCATCCTCACACCCACAGCCACAGCCCTCAGCCTCCGGCCCCCAACTATATACAAACAAGCCTGCACCAACCCCGGTAATACCCACAGCCCTGCACTAAAGTGCTCCCCACACCCACAGCCCGCCACTAAAGTGCTCGCCGCACCCACAGCCCTCCACTAAAGTGCTCCCCACACCCACAACCCTCTGCTGCAGGCCCCTGGCCACACCCTGAGCCTGCACAGCAGCCTCCTCCATCCCCACACCTGCAGCCCTGGGCCTGAGGCCCCTGGCCACAAACCTACATCCCTTCCTAAGACTCCCAACCACAGCCTCAGCCACTCACCCCCTCCAATACCCACAGCCCTTTATCAAGGCGCCCTGACCCTCAGCACCCCTTTGTCCCCACACCCGTAGCCCTCTGGCCACACCCTCAGTCCTGCACTGAAGGCCCCAGTCCACATCCACACACTGACATTATAAGACTCCCAGGTACTATTCAGAGATCCCCTGTGCAAAAAGATCCCAACCCCCGACCACACCCCCCTCCACTGCCACCTCCTGACCACCCCCTCAGTCTCAGCAACCATATTCTAGCTCTGCCTTTTACACTAGGGCCTCCAGTGACCACAGCCTGGGCTGCACCCAGCTGCCCCATCTTTTGCCACCACTGGTCTTGACACTGAAAACTCCTCCCCAATTACCACACTCCCGAATCCCTAAGTGGCAGTTTCTGGGACTGTGAGCACCAGTGGCTCCTATGTTACAGGTGCCTCTGCAGCACCACAACCCCAGTCCATACTGCACTCTCCTTCCCTTTCCCTGGGTGTAACCTCCCACTAGGAAACTGAAGACCTGAACTTGGTTCACCAAGAGTAACGTCCAGGGGAGCTTGGATGCCACAGGGTGCTTGCCCCAAGCACTGGGAGGATCCTGCGTGCAGTGCTCACTCCCGTCCGTGAGAAGATGGATTCTTGGTCATCTCAGCGCAGTCAGGTGGCGCTGGGGTGCAGGCCGCAGCCCCATGGGTCTGCAGGCCATGGATGGAGTGGCCACACCCATGAACTGGGGCCACCCGTCCCGCTCCCACTGGGACAGCTGGAGTCATCAATCAGCCGGACCAGGAGGTGGGGGCTGCGAGGTGGAATGCCTGGGGCCAGGGCAGGGCCGCTCAGCTGGCTCCTCGCTGTGACCGCCCGAGATTGGGACACTTTCCAGGCTGCTTCCCCCAACCCTCATCGTACAGGATACTGATTGAGGTGGTCGGCATCTGACTATCCTATGGGCTTCTACCTCGCGGCTGCTCCTGAAGTGCGTCTTCGGATGGACAGAAGGACGCAGGAATGGACCGATGGACGCGCGAGACCAGGCGGCTCCGCAGCTCCACTCCCTGCCGGCTCCCGGGTGGGACTGCAGCCCAGGCGGCTCCGCCGTATTATCCCCTGTTTCTCGGTCTCCATAGAGACGGCGAGTCCCACCCCCGAGGCTGTCTCCGCGGGAGAGTGACCAAGGTCATACCGGCCCCGCCCATGAGGCCCCGCCCTCTCCGCACCGCTCCGAGAGCCGCATCCCACCCCTCCCCCCCAGTAACTCTTTGGTCCTCGCTGCGACGAGACCAGCACTCTGCACTTCGGGGCGTCCTCGAACAGCGCCCCCCTTCCCGCCACGACCCCCGTGGAAACTGCCTCCCATCCTGGGATTTGCCTAAAGCTCAAAGCGGCCCCAATCTCCAGGGGAGATCCAGCTCCCCAGAGAGCCAACCAGAGGCCTTCGAGGAGCTGGAGCGGGGGATTGGTGGTGGTTAGGGAATCGGGAAGGAACCCTCCCTCTGTGACAGGGGTCTTACAGTTGGCTCTAGAGCACTGCTATCCACTGAACAGCTGGCATCCCCAGGCCACAACTCCCGCGCTCTCCTGGGTAGGATTCAGAGCCCGGAGCACTGGGGAGGGAGGAGACTCCCCACCAGCGAATCGCTCTCGCCCAGCCCCAGGATGCTGACACTCGATGGCGGCCCTGCTACCCGGACCTTCGGGCTTGGCCCCTTCCTTTCGCCGCCCCCTCGCTGCGGCCTCGCAGCCTCAGCGCCCGCTGCTGCTTTGTCTTGGTCTCCCAGTGCAAAGCCCATCTTTAAGGAAAACCTCCTCCAGGCCGCCTTCCAAGGCCTTTCCTAACCAGGAGCCCCTAACCACGAGCCACACCTGAGCAACTCCACAGGGCAGCTTGGTTGGCCACCTACTGTACACAGACCCCTTCCCCGCCCCCGGTCGATTGGCCGGGGTCGGGCTTCTGGATGGCCCATGGCCCCTGCCATTAAGAAAGTAAGTACGACGTCCGAAAAAGCATAAAAAAGTTTATTGGAGCATCACTACCGGTGGGGCGGGTATTGCTGAGTCGTGGGGATGGGAGGCCAATCCCGCCGGCCACTGGGGCCCCTAAAGTGCACTCGGTGCGATAAGGGTGGGTGTTGCATAGTGAGTAGGGCCGGCCGCTCCTCCTTGGCCCTCCGGCCTCTCGGCCCAGCTAAGCCAGACCGGCCTCCCGGCCGCCCGGCGCCCCCGGTTCGCCGCTGCTCGGGCTCACGAAAACGGCAGGCGCACGCGCCTGCAGCGCCAGCCCCAGCTCTCGGCCCCGGCCCGGCGGGGCAGCCAGAGCGGCGCTGCCCAGGCGCGTCTGCGACACGGGAATCTCGTCCACGGATTCAGCTGACGCCGAGTGGTAGGCGCCGGCAAGGCCAGCGGCGTGCACAGGGCTGGCGTCCGCAGAATCCGCCGACGACCTGGAGCGGCGGCCGGGGGCCCTGGGCCCTGCGCAGGGAAGGGAAACATAAGCCCAGGGGCCACTGCTCGCTGGTGGCTCTGCCTTCCCTTCCCTTGAGCTCCATGAGCCAGACAGGGAGGGGCGCTCACCCAACGCCTGATCCGAGGTCTCAGACGTCTGCACTTTATACACGCGCCTCTTCCTCTTTTTCTGCAGAGACACGGGGGGAAGACTGAGAGCCCCACATGCCAAAAGCAGCAGAGGGGTGCGCCAGGGTAGACGCTTCTTTCTATCCCACTCCACCTGGACCGGAGGCCCAGCACAGTCCCTCCTACCTGGGGTCGGATCCGGGGAGGCTGGGCGAGAGTGTCTGGGGAAGAGGGTGGTGGAGGCTCCACTTGGCCACGGGTAGCAAAAAACTGAGCGGGACTGAGGGGTAAGCAGGAGGGTAAACCTGGGGGCTGTTCCCCGAATCCCTCCCCACTGGAGGCCCTGAGAGAAGCTTCCCTTCCTATTGGCCCAGAGAAGAGCCAGACCCATGCCCCAACTACCCTTTCTCCTGCCTGCCATGCTAACTGGAGATTCCCAGTGGCACATGCCCAGGTCACACTCACTTGGCATTCACTGCTGCTGGCCTGGCCTGGCCAGGGGGCTCTGGGCGCACATGGCTGAAGGTCCGCATGTAGAACTCCATCTCCTGGGGAAGGTGGGAGTCAAGGAGGCTGGGAGGCTGGGTGTGGCTCCCGAGCCTCTTGAGCCCTGAGCCTACCCAGTCCTGCCCTCACTGGCCTCTATGGGACATCTCAGGCCTCATGCCAGGCTCCCAGTTGGGCTGGGAAAACCCCTCTGTAAGGTAAAGCTTAAAACACCCATTTCTGGCCCTTGTCCCGTCCCCAGGTCCTCACCTCATCTATTCAGCCTCCTCTGGGAAGGCTCCCAGCCCCATGGGTCTATAAACCCAGTTTAGAGAGGCTCAGCTAGGAAAGTGGTGGGAAGCTCAAAGCTGCCCGCACCTGCTCCTGGCGTCCCCAGGGCTCCAGCCTCTGAACCAATTGTTTTCCCCACGTGGAGAAACAGGCCTGAGTGTGCATCCACCAGCTCCTGCAGAGCTGAGTCCTGGGTGCACACCTCGCCCTTACAGAGGACCAGCCATGATCCCGGCTGCCAAGAAGGGGATGTATGGGTGCACATGAGGTGGTCTCCCTGCCACTACCCCTGAAAGGGAAGGTAGTAGGTGGTGGAACAAACAGCCATAGCCCCATTGGGCACCAGGCTTATGGGCGAGCCCTGATCTTCACAGCAACCCTGAGGGTGCAGATTCGACCCCCGAAAGCAAAGGGGCCTTAGGACCAGGAGGTCACAGGATTGGCCTAGTCCTGCACCCCCACCCGCAGGACTGGCCCCAGCTTTGCTAGGCGGAGGGGGCTGGGGGACTCCAGGTGAGGAAACAAAGGCGGGGAAAAGCTGGCCCAGGAAGGGCGTGGTGTGGGATGGGGGCGGGTCCAGGGCGGGGTCGGAGGTGGGAGGGGGTGCTGGGTGCACCCAGACAGCTGTCTCGGGTTCAGCACCCGTTTCCATGGAGACGGAGGCGTCCTGACTAATGCAGAGAGGTCACTGTAACAGCAAGGCCGTCTCTAAAACAAGCCTATGTTTGGGGGCAACGGCTCCAGAGAGGGGCCCCTCCCGAATTCCTAATGGGATGGGGGTGGATGGCTGACTGCAGGGCCCTGACAGATCTGGGGGAGAAGCCCCGTCATCGGCCCTGCCCAACCTCTGCCCTGGCTGCAGCTCTGCAGAGGGGTGGAGGAGCGTGGGGTCAGGGGTCAGAGGACTGGGACCTCAAGATCATTCTCCCCCACACCTCCCCTCTGCCCCAGTGTGGACTCAATGACCCTCCAGGGCCAGCAGAGGGGCAAAGCCTACTGGAGTCCCCGGGCTCCAGAGTTGGGAACAGAGGAGGTCTCAGAAGCTGAGGGGCCAGGGTGGGACAGGCACCAGGCCCCAATCAGCTCAATAAGTCTGAGAGTGTCCCCAGGGAGTCCCCACTCAGAGCTCAGTCCTCTCCTCATGGCTTTCCTGAGTATCCTTCCTCAGAGACCTTCAAAACCATGCACATTCCTGAATGGTACTGGGCCCTCAGCCTCAGTTCTCTGCTTTGTAAAAGGGGACAAGAACATCATTCCTGTCCCCCAGGTTCGCCTCCCTCGAGGCACTACAGATGGACAGAACAGAAATTAAATTTCTTTGCTGTGGCCACATTTGGCTCCAAAGCCTTGGCAGGGCAGAGCCAAAGAGCCCTGGAGCATGGGCATCATGGGGCCCACCCTGCCTCAGTGGGTGCTGCCTGTGAGGCTGGAGAAAGTCTCCTGCCTACTTCTCTGGGCCTCCATCTCCTCTTGATGTGGGGCTGGAGATGGTGCCCTCTCCCCAGCACAGCTGCCACTGTCAGGGCCCAGCACTGGGGCAGGTATACAGTGGTGTGACAGTGGAGTTGTCAACCACAGCCAGCACACCCCAGGCCCAGGCCTGCCAAGTCCTGCAGCCTGGCCCACAGACAGTGTCCAGCCCTAGCGACAATAACAGAAGAGGCAGGGTCCCAGGCCTTCCCCAACCCTCCCACCAGCCTGTGTTTGTGTCCTGTTGCCATGAGGCCTTGGGATCCAGGGCTCAGGCTTCCCAGCCAAGCCTGCCTGGGCCCCTGCCTTCCTAGTCCCTAGGGGCTCCTCTAAAGACTGGATCACCTCCACCCCCAGCTGCTGACCTCAGGAAGCCATGGGGCGTGGGAATGGGGATAGGCTGGTCAGCAACTGGCCTGGCCAGGCTGGCCAGAGCATGGAGACCTTAACTCTTCCCAGACCCAGCTTGCAGTTAACCTTCTAGGCCTCAGTATGCTTATCTGCAATGGGGCTGTTCTAAGCATAAAAGGGTAATGGGTATAAGTGCTCAAGGTCATGGATGGGGAGAAACAATGGCTCCATCCTGGCCACCCATCACTGACATCTCACTGGTCCTTCCCTCTCTCTTCTGCTGCAGCCCCAACCTGCTTACTTCCAGGCTCCACATCCCATGCCCTCCCATGCATGCCTGGCGCTTAGGCAGGCATGCACGTGGGGTCCAGGAAACATGGGCTCCCTCTGTCTGTGCCCACGCTTGGGTGAGAAGGCACATGCTCCACATAAGCCCAGCCCTTGCTGTCCCCAGCATCCCCGCCTGCAGTGGCTGTTCCAGGCTTGCCTCCCTTGCCCTATCTCCTCACTGGCTGCTCGCTGCACAGCCCAATGCCCCTGACGCCCAAGCCCCCTCCCATCTCTCATCCACTATACCTGAATGGGCCGCATCTTGGGAGGACACAACTCCAGCTCCCTGTGGGCCCCCTTGGCCTCCTGTGGTGGGCGGTGCTGCACGATGTACTCATAGGTGGTGAGTTTGTGCCACACTGGTGGGGTAAGGAGAGGGCTCAGTGCAGTGGAGAGGAGACCCTGGAGCTCAGAATAGGAGGGAGGACAACCAGCCCCAGGCTGAAACCAGTGTCCCCAAATACAGGAAGCCTATATAGAGACCTGGCCACCACAGTGAGCCCACACTGGACAGGGGCATGGTTTTAGGGTCCACCATCTAGCGGGCACCTCTCTGAGGACCCCTGCACTCTGGACGGCAGATACAGGAGGCACTTACTGAGATAAATGTGGAAGCAGAGCAGGTGGCCCAGCAGGGCTGTGGATAGCAGGCCCAGAAGTATGAGCAGGGCAGCCAGGGCCAGGATGGCAGGGGCCTGGGTCTCCACAGGGGCAGCAGGCAGGAACACGAACCACACATCCGTGTGATTCTTCAGCACTGCAAGGCATAGGCAGCCCATGCTCAGCTGGGGATGTGACAGGTGACGAGTCAGGGGTGGGAATAGGCCTGGAGGCCAAACTGACCTTCGAAGTGTCGGTTGGTGCGCAGCCGCATGGGGTTGACAAAGAACTCCACGAAGACATATGTGGCCACCAGCACAAGGAGCAGGACACCCAGTAAAGCGGATGCGACACTGTGTAGAAAGAGCCTGGGCCCAGCCATAGGCAGCTGTCAGCTCCCAGGAGCACCAGGGCCTCGGAGGACCCATAGGAGTTGGGGCTGTAGGGTCACTGCTATGGGCTCGGAGGGTTGAGGGTGACACCACAGCCCCAACTCCTTAGAAGCCAAAGGCATATAGCAAAACTGAAGATGGGTGGACACCCCATCACCCAGTGGCCGGTCCATCCACCTTTCTCTGGACCAGCATGGGGGAAGATTCCAGCCCCAACCTTGGCCATCTCAGCCAGCACCCAGGAGCATCACCCTCTCTGGGCTGCACCCCTAAATAACCATGGGCACAGGTCCTCCAAGCATCCCCTTCCCCGCCCATCCTCGCCCACCTGCCATGCAGGCTGCAAGGTCTGTGGCTCCCACCCTCAGACACGTGCATCCCCAGGCTCTCCTGCGGCCGGGCTGTCCTCACCGGTAGTTCCGCTCGCCCACACAGTTGTTGAGCCACTTGCAGTGGTGGTCGAAGCCGCACACGCACTTGTTGCAGGCGCTGCAGTGCTTAGAGCGAGCGCTCCTGCGGGGAGAGGGGGCACAGCGCAGCCGGTCGGCTCATTCCCCGCTTTGCAGCCGGGCCCCATGTGGAGGCCAAGGCAGTCTGTGGAAGGACTAAGCGCCTGGCCTGAGACAGCCTGGAGCTCGGCGACGAGGAGCGCGCGCGCCCTCTGCAGGCGCTATGGGGTGGGGCCCCTGGAGTAGGCAGCTCTCCCAAAGAGCTGGGGGACCCGGAGGCTGTAGGAGGGGTGAGGAGGTGCATCTCTCCTGCTCTGGGACTGTGCGCCTAGCTGATGCGCCATGAAAAGGAAAATGGGCGTCCTTTCCAAGCAAGGACCCCTGAGAGAAGCCAGAAGATGCAGGTGTGGGCCCAAGGACCACAGACAGCAAGGATGCCGGGCCCAGGGCCTGTACTGCCCTTCCTGACATCTCCAGCTGTGGGTCCCTGTTTCTCTGCCATACTATGGGAATGGTACTGGCATTCTTCTAGAAACCTCAGTCTGTGTGGGTAAAGACAAAGGGGGCCAAAAGCAGCACAGGCTGTCATCCTTGTGGGCATGCAGGCACTCATCACAGGGGCTCACAGGAGTCTCCCAGCCCAGGGAGGCACTGGGGAAAACCCAAAGGCACAACTCCCCTCCCAGAACAGGGCAGAGCCCTGCAAAGAGCAGCAGCTGAAGGAGAAGCCACTCGTAAAAGTGTGCTGGCGGGCCCTGTGCCCAGTGAATGGCAGGATGGCCTCATGTCCAAGTCCTGGGCGCCTTAAGGCTGGGGGCTTGCTCAGCCTGCAGACAGACTTCTTGGCAGGGGGACTGGCCTTGGGCCATGCCCCCGTCCCTGATCCCTCACCCAAGACCTGGAGACCAAGGAGCTCCAGAAGGGAGGAGAGGGGCTCCTAAAGAGGCAGCTGGGACCAGCCAAGGGGGCGGGGGCCCTCCATGCTAGCAGAGGGACTTCTAAGTCACCCAGCTGGCCTCCCAGGCCTCAGACTCCTCCTAGGTAGACCAGAGCAGCAGTATCTGTGTGGGGGTCTGGCCGCCCAGGTGTGAATCTGGCTCCACCATCAGTGACTGCATCTGGCCTCAGCCTTTCTGAACACTGGGCTCTTCCTCCTCTATGTAGTGAGAAAACCATGCAGAGTGGCTGCAGGCAGAACTCAGCACACAGTGAGTCTTCAGGCTTCAGTGCCCCTCCCCGCCCTTATATGGGAATACTGGCAAAGATGTGGGAATGTCACTGGCAGAGTTGGTCATTAGAAATGTTTCGGCAGTGCCAAATATTTCTTCCTTTAACTGCTGGAATGCTAATCCTCAACTTCTGTTTCCAGTCACCTTCTCCTCACCTTCTCAGGGACCCAATTCCCTGTCACACCATCAAGGTTCTTGACCGCATAAAACACAAGGATTCTGAGGCGTAGGGGATGGCTGTGAAGCCCTGGGAGCCCTCCTCCTCCATGCATCGCGCAGAACACTTGGCAGCCTCATGCACCCCCTCACACACGCACTCACACATCCACGTCGCACAAGTTGCAGTGCAGGTCTTCAATGACATGTGCGTGCTGGCTTCGGTTGAAGATGGGCAGGGGCCCCGCATAGCTCTTGTCCCGCACATTGGCATCTGCTGGATCAATGGAGACGGCAGTCAGGTGCACCACGAGGTGGCCGGCAAAGATGGCGCCCATGCACTGGCCCAGCAGGTTAAAGACTCACTCCACACTCTACTGTCTGGAAGTCCCACCCCATTCCTTGCAGCCAGAGAACTTCCCACCATGCCAGCCCGCTTTATGTAGATTCTCAGCCTGTGCCACCTCCTACCTCCAGCCCCCCAGAGCTTCCTCATCAGACCTCTCCAGGGACCCCTGTGCCCCACATGGAAAGGAAGAGGAGCCACCTAGGAACAGAGTCCACAGCCAGCCAGCAGTGCCTGCTGCGGCCACCTGGTGCCCCAATTGCAGGGCTCTGGCCTCACTGCTCTAGGCCTGGTGCAGGCCCTGGCTGGTCTGACCTCAAGCCAGTTTCTGGTTTCAGATTCCAAATGATGATGTGAGACTGAAAGAGGTCAACCTGACCTAAGGTCCAAGAACTTAAAGTTTAAGTCCTAGCTTGCTTATCTTGCTTTCATAGCAAGTCACCTCCAAGAGGGATGCAGCCACCCCCACTTTCAGTAGCCAGGCCAGGTGGAGAAGCCCTTGCAGACAGGGGTTCAGACACCTGCTCCCTCCCCTACCAAGAATCTATGCACTTGGAGCCCTGGACTGAGTGTGTTGGATGGCCTACCATGTTCAGGGCCTGGCCAGGGGCAGCATGGCTAATCTCTGAAGCTGAAACGCAGCTCTTCCAGGACCTATCTGCTCAATGACTGGGCCAAATGCAGGAGACAGGTATGCTGACAATTTTTGCTACAGTCTGATATGAAAAATTCACCCATAGATTCCACCCAGGCAGCCATCCACTCTCCCTCCCTTGATCCCACCCCCTTCGGCCCAAAATTCCACTCATCCTCTTACTAGCCAGGCAGGCATCATCCCTCCTCCATCATTCATGCTCTACCCATCCATCCGCCATCCTTCATCCATCAGCTGTCCAACCTCTTTTCCTCCCTTCCTCCTCCTCCCAGCAGCCAAATTTCTCTACATATCCACATAAGTCAGGCTCTGCCCTAATGTGCCACAGCACAGCTGAGAGAGACAATCCCATGGCCGTCACTGACCCCTCTATCCCTATGGCCATGACCAAGGCTTCACCTCTTGCCTGGGTCACTCTCTAGTCTCCCAACTCTGCCCCTCCTGAGTTCCCTTGAGTCTATGCTTCACATGGTCACAGAGTAAGTTTTTTAAAAGCTCAGACCCAAAGCCCTCCCTGCTTGCACCTCTACAGTGGCTCTCGACAGCAGCTGAATTCACTCCTCTGCTCAGTGCCAAAGTCCCTTTTCCTCTGGCTCCTCCCAAACCTCTCTGCTATCACCAGCTACTGTGCTCACCATGCCAGCCTCTCAGACTACTGAATGAGGGCCAACATTTAACTCCCTGCCTGCCCCAAGTCCTCCTGCCTCACCCCCACGGTCATTCATTTAGCTGTCTACTGAGGTCTTTTGTTGTGACAGGCACTGAGGGATATGGCAGGAGCAAGAGTCCCTAGCACTGAAGAGACTATAGTCTGGTGGGAAACACGGATTTCTTTTTCCTTTGAGATTGAGTCTCGCTATGTTGCCCAGACTGGAGTGCAATGGGGTGATCTCAGCTCACTGCAACCCCTGCCTCCCAGGTTCAACGATTCTCCTGTCTCAGCCTCTCGAGTAGCTGGGATTACAGGCACCCACCACCATGCCTGGCTAATTTTTGTATTTTTAGTAGAGCCAATGTTGGCCAGGCTGGTGTTGAACTCCTGACCTCAGGTGGTGATCCAGCCACCTTGGCCTCCCAAAGTGCTGGAATTACAGGCATGAGCCACCACTCCCACCCAAAAACATGGATATCAATCAAATAATGGGTTAATTACAATGAACAAAGTTTGTGGGACTGTGCCAGTTTGTAATCAAGTGATCTCATCTAGTCTGAAGGGTTCTGGAAGGCTTACCTGAGGAAGCATTGTCTTGGCTGAGACTTGGAGAGGAATGGATTACAGGGACCTGGCAGATAAAGAAGAAAGGGGACCTGGCTAGATAGGGACTGTGGCTGTGGGGAACATGTGGAGTGCCAGCCTGTGGTTTGGCTGAAATGTGCCTCCAGCTCATGGTTGCCTTATAAGGATGCAAGAATGAGGGTCTGTTTGGTCAATTTCTGGCTTCTCAAAAGGAACCAGAAGTCTGGGTTTTTATGTGAGATCTCTCAATGTTTAAATGTTAAGGAAATAAATAATTTAAAAAACACACCGAGCCGGGCGTGGTGGCTCACGCCTGTAATCCAAGCACTTTGGAGGCCAAGGCAGGCGGATCACCTGAGGTCGGGAGTTCAAGACCAGACTGACCAATATGGTGAAACCCCGTCTTTTTTTTTTTTAAAAAGAAAACACACCTATAGATGGAACATTAAGATCTGTGTATTTTCTTTGTTAATTATCCTTCAATTAAAAAAAAGCAAATCTGCAGGCTGAACTGGCCTATGGGCTGCTAGTTCTTGACCTCTAACTTAGCTGGGTGTTGGGAGCAGGAGGAGAGGCAAGGGGCTTCCAGGCAGAGACCAGTACCATAGAAACAGAAGAGCACAGGGAAAATAACATCAGAGGAAATGGAGGAGAAGGGCAGAGTCCAGAATGTGGAGCCTTGAAGCCATGCAAAGATGTTAAGCCTCATTTCCTTCCCTTATTTTTATTTTTATTTTTTTTTTAGATGAAGTCTCACTCTGTTGCCCAGGCTGGAGTGCAATGGTGCTATCTCAGCTCACAGCAGCCTCCACCCCACCAGGTTCAAGCGATTCTCCTGCCTCAGCCTCCCAAGTAGCTGGGATTACAGATGTGCACCACCACGCCCAGCTAATATATATATATAATTTTTTTTTTAATTAAATGCCCTGCCCCATACCTCACCTAATTTTTATATTTTTAGTAGAGATGGGCTTTTGCATGTTGGCCAGGCTGGTCTAGAACTCCTGACCTCAGGTGATCCATCTGCCTCAGCCTCTCAAAGTGCTGGGACTACAGGTGTGAACCACTGTGCCCAGCTTTGAGCATCATTGCTTAAGGCAGGAAGAAACCATTAGAAGTCTTGAAGCCACAATGCAACATTATCGGATTTGGTTTTTGGAAAGAGCAGGAATGCAGATGGGCTGGCCGGGGTGACAGTGCGTGTGGGTGACCCATTTAGAAACTCAGCGGTCATCCAGGGAAGAGGGGCAGTTGGCAGTGGCAGAAGCTGGGAGCCAATTCGACATCTATTTAGGAGGCAAAATCAACAGGGCTGGATGACAGACTGGATTTAAGCAAGGATGGAAGGGGGAGGAGCCAAGAGCACATGGGGAGAAGTGGGGGAGGAGGGGAGCTACAGGCCGCATGCGTCCTGTGGACGTGCGATGACGCTGGTGCAGGTGGCTTCTGCCTGCCCTCACGGTCTGCTGTATGAACCCCAACCCTGTGCTTACCATGTGGCATCATGGCCATCTCCAGTCCACCAGCCTTCCCTCCAGTTGGAGGCCCAGCACCCCAAGGCTCAGCTTGCATCCCTAAGGCCCAGGCCAGTTCCAGGCCCAAGATGGGTACCTGGTACCCACTATGACCCTACCTGACCCCTCAGTGATCTGAGAGAGCCTGCAGAAAGGAGCAGATCCTGCAGAAAGGAGAAGGCTTTGATGGAAGGAAAGAGAACATACAGACCTGGTCAGGTGTGAACCAGGTGGCTCTGTGAGCCTCTGCAATGCCCAAAGCAGATGAACCCTGAGTGTGGAGACAAAGCCCTCAACCCATCCCTCTCATGACAGTCAGGCTGCTTGGGAGGCCCATCTGGCCTCACTGGGTGCCTGGTATGTGATCTCAGGAAGTCACTGAACCTCTGTACCCAGCTTCTTCATTAGGAAATGGGGAGAATACCTCCTTACAGGATTGCTACGAGGATCAAATGAGATCATTCATGTAAAGTGGCTGATGCAGGGCCTGGCACATGTAAGGGCCCAATAAATGCTACTGCCTTCTGTGATTCACCATTCGTTCTGCTTCTACTTGCTCCAAGCCATGGAGTTGTTAATCTGGTTAATCCGGTTTCCCAGGTATCCTGATGGTAGAAACCCAGGTGATCCCTAGTGAGGGACATGTCCATTCCAGATCACAGGAGGAATGTCCCATGACACATTCCCAGATCCCATGACTTAACAGCACTAAGGCCTGTTGGTCACCTCAGGGAAAGTCTAGTTTTCCATTCACAGAGCTGATGACCAGCCCCTGGGCTCTAGGGAACAAGAAGCTCCAGATGGTACTGTTGTATCTAAGGATGACAACCTTCTCTAGGGTTCCCCTCCACACACCTGCCCTGTCACTCACCAGCCCAGGACTTTGGGGTTTCCCAAGAGAGCATGTTCACATTTGCGGCTTAATGAATTCCAGTGCTCACATATATCCTAACATGCTCCAGGTAGGAGCCTTCCCATCAGACAGAGGAGGAGGCTAAGACCCACAGAGCTGGTAGGAGCTGCTCGGTCCTGTACAGCTCTGAAGGCGCTGAGCAGGGACTGAGCTCACTGCAGGCTCGATGTCCCAGGCTTTCAGATTTGTCCCTGCCAATCACCCTTAGGTCACCCTCCCCTTCCCTGCAGGAGTCATCTTTGTGAAGGATACTCAAACAGGAACTCTCTGGAAAGGGGCATAGAGATGCCTGCTTCACTGCAATCCCTGGCCTTGCAGCCACACCCTCTGCTCCTGGGGGCTGTGGCCAGGGATGGGGCAATCACACCACTGGGTTCAGGCAAGTCCGGGTTTGTCACTGTTCCCAGGAGCCTCCCAGGTATTTCCATCCCATCTCTTGTCACATTGAACCTCACTCTAAAAGGGTCTGATTTACAGAAAAAATGTGCTCCTCAACAGTCCTGGCACAGTCTGTCCATAAATAAAACCATATTTTAAAGGTACCAGGACACTTACTATGTAAAAGAATTCTACGGTGACTCTTTTTGAAAAGTGAAAATTCTTTGATAAATGGGCTAATTACTCCCTACTTTGTCCTTTGTTTAGCTCTGAACACAATTAGCATCAGGATGGTTTAAGGCTCCTCCTTCTACAGCTGCTCCTGTGGTCCCTCCGTGGACAGGATTCACATGCTTTCAGGGCATGACATGCCCCTAGGTGCTTTAGGTGTGCCCACTCACCCTATCAGGTGGAGAGGCCAGGTGGAGGCTGGAGGCCAGGCTGGTAAGCAGCAGGTCCCCAGGACTGGGCCCACCCTGCTCTGCTCCCCTAACTGTGCTCCCCAAGGCTCTGAGCCCAGCTTTGGGCCTCTGCTATGGCTGCCATCCTTTGCCTCCCCACTTCTATGCACCAGTCCTACACTTTCCCAAGGATACAGCATAGCCGGCAGGCACCCAGTGATGAGGCAGGAGTGGAACAAGGACCCCAAAGCCAATCACAGCAAAGAAGAGGTACAGCAGCCAGGCCACAATCTGGAGCGGGTGAGGGGGCCAGCTCCACCCATTCCGGCGGGATCGCTGGCCCTGCAGCTCGGGAGAGGATCCACTGGGCTGCGCAGGCGCAGTCCATACGCTTTTCTCAGGGGCCGTCTTGTTGGAGGGCTTGTTGCAGATGTTCATCTGCAGAGGGAGAAATAGGAGATAGAGCATTAGCCCAAGAGGCTGGGCTGGAGCCCAGGGCCCGTGTCTGCAGCCAGGTTTCAGCAGCGGGGGGAAGGCATAGGCTGCGACATGAAGCCACCTCCCAGCTACTCTGCCAGGGAACCTGGGGTCCTTGCACAATAGAGACGGGCAGTGGAGAGAGGGTGGGAGTGGGCTGCTGTCTCAAAGCCCAAAGCAAATCCTGGCCCCAGCCTGACCAGGACAAGGTAGGAGGACCCAGGGTTTATTCAGGACACAGTGCTGCTGCCTGTTACTCAAAAGTGCTGTCTTCACAGCCATCACAGTTAAACCCAATAAGACATGTTCTCATCTGGTAACAATATCAGGCTGGGGCCAGAGTGATGAGAACACATGCTGATTCTGTTAGGATTAGTCACCTCCTTCCTGAGGTCCAAATGCAAGTGTCAAACACAAACACAACCCCACTATCCTTTGCTCAGGGAATGGGGAATGGGGGTGCCCAAAGAAGGATCTGCCTTCTGCCCCACAGCGGACACAAAGTCTCTTTAGACTGGGGGAGCCTGAAGCTTTGCCCCATGCTGCCTGAGGGTTCTTGGCTAGGGAGGGGCCAGCACTTGAGAGGGAGGGAAGGATTTCTCTTTAGTTCTCTCCAGCAGCAGAAATGACCACGTTTCTCTAAGTAAATCTGGGCCTGGTGTACAGTTTTATACAGAAAGGTGGGCTAATGTCCTTGGACTCAGAGCCAGACCACCAGATGGCAACAACCACCCACCTCCACCAGCCACCTGCTAGCCAGACAGCTGCCCCGGTGGCCGGAGATGAATGCTGGGCAGGAAGGGGTGGTCTACAAGAGGAAGACCCCCATCCTCAGGATCTGGGCCCAAGATGGGACAACAGCCCAGCATTTAGGAGACAGGCCAGCTCTGCGCTCGAGGCAGGAAGGCCAGGAACTGGGCCTAAAACCCTGATAGCTGAACTCTCCCTTCAGGAGCCCCTGCCTATGAGACAGGGAACCTAAGCAGAAAGGATGTGGCAGACCCCGCAGCCCATCTGCCTGGATCGCCTTTCTCACTTCTCGGCCCTCCAAATAAGACGATCTTCAGAGCCAACTGCAAGCATTGCCTCATCCAGGAAGCTTTCCCTGATGTTCTGAATCAGGGGGCCCTCATGCTAAGTCATTGTTGGGCAAGTTACTTTGCCATCTGGAACACTCTGCAATCCTCATGTCTGCCCCGCCCCCCCCCCACGCCCCATTAGGACAGCTTTCCCCAAAGGCAGCAAATGTGCTGGAGTTTATCTCTGTCCACTATGTCGCTTCCCCCCAGGCACGCATTATTGTACCTTATACACAGTAGATCCTCAGTAAATGTTTGCTGACTTGAAAACATCTGAAATAAAAGGAAACATGGACACAGTAAATGATGTGGAATCCTGGTCCACCCTAAGCCATCTGGCCCACTTTCCTCTGCCTTCCATCCTCCCAGCCCTGCCCACTTGCTGCAGGGTCGTTAACCCATGCCTCCCCCAGCCCATCTCCCTCTGCTGGCTGGCTACCACCCTGACTGCCAGACACTCACTCCTAGCCACCCTGCACCTCAGCCACTTGCACTTCAGAGCCTCCTGCTGGCCATGCCTAGCATCACTTGCAGTGACCTCTGAGTAGTCCTATCTCAAAACTAAATGGAGGACTTAGTTTTCCCTCAGGGACTGATTCAATTGGTGTTTTTTTTGGTTTTTGTTTTGGGTTTTTGGGTTGTTGTTGGGATTTTTTATTTTTATTTTTTTTGAGACAGGATCTTGTTCTGTTGCCCAGGCTAGAGTGCTATGGCACCATCACAGCTCACTATAACCTTGACCTCCTGGGCTCAAGTGATCCTCCTACCTCAGCCTCCAGAATAGGTGGAACTACAGGCATGCACCACCACCTCTGGGTAATTTCTTTCTTTTGTTTTTTATTTTTTTGTAAAGACGAGTCCCACTATGTTGCCCAGGCTGGTTTCCAACTCCTGGACTCAAGAGATCTGCCAGACTCAGCCTCCCAAAGTGCTGGGTTTACAGGCATGAGCCCCCATGCCCGGCCTTTTTTGCTTTGTTTTGTTTTGTTGTTTTTGAGATAGGGTCTTTTTCTGTCATCCAGCCTGGAATAAAGTGGCACAATGATAGCTCACTGAAGCTTCAGTCTCCTGGGCTCAAGTGATCCTCCTGCCTCAGCCTCCTGAGTAGCTAGAACTACAGGGGCATGATGACATGCCTAGCTATTTTTGTAGAGACAGGGTTTCACTATGTTGCCCAGGCTGGTCTCTAACTCCTGGCTCAAGCGATCTCTCCACCTTATCCTCCCAAAGCACTGAGATTATATGCATGAGCCACTGTCCCGGCCCTCACTTTCTTCTGCATGTCCCAAAGACAGGAAATCCTCGTCCTTATATTGTGGAAATAGTCAAAGTCTTCAGGTCAAGCCCTGTAAATATGGTTGAGCTGGATGGTTCTGCTCTGGGGCCAATTCCTGTGGCTTACACATCAGTTCTCCAGGGACACCATCACCAGGGTAACTACTTTGAAAGGAATTCATGAATTAGGATTCCTAAATTCTGGCTCTCCTTTTGCCATCCCTACACCTGAACAACCCTACACCTTCTGGGAGTTTCCAAAGAGCAAAACAGAGGCATGTAGCTGATCTGGCCCCACTGCCTGGAAGCAATCACAGGCACCCCCAGCGCCACTATATCCCGGACTCCTGAAGCAGGAGGAGTCACAGTCTGCAGCCAGGCTCCCACCACACACAGCCTTGGGGACGGCTCTGGGTCCAAATCAGGATACCCACCTTGGCCCAGGAAGGGAGCACTTGTCTAAGGCTGTGGATTTGGGGATAGTGCTGCTGGGCAGACCCCCTCTTGGCAGTGGCGGCATTCCAGAATAGACGCCCAGCCTGGCCCAGAGGCATGCTCAGGCCAGCCTACTTTTCACTGATGAGATTTTCTCCTGCAGAGTTGGTGGTCACAAATTCCTTTGGCCCAAAAGATTTTGATTAAAAGGGCTGGGCAGTCGGAGAGAATCCAAGATGGGGCTCCCAGGCCCACAGATGGGACCAAGCACTGTCACTAGACCCCAGGATTTCTCTGGCTGTTGCTCCCCTCTCAACAAGTCTCTAGGAGACCAGATTGAAAGATGTGTGGCTCTGTTCCCCAACAATGTGGCCAGCTGGCACCCTCAGACCTTGGCCATTCAGCATTTATCAGGCCCCAGCCCGCTGCGTGTACTGAAGATGTAAACACAGATAAGACCGGGTGCCTGCCCTCAGGGGCTTCTTTTCTGGGACCCAGACAGACATGAACAGACACCAGCAGTGGGTGAATGGGTGTTTCGGCAGCCCATGCGAGGGCCAGCTGTACAATGTGGCAGAATACAGGGTGAACACTGGGCAGGGCCCAGTGAGAGATGGGACCAAAGGATTTTCGGGGCTCAGATCACAGTGGGCCTAGGAGGCCAGGTGAGGATGCATGGGCACTGCTGGAAGAGCCACAGGGAAGCAAAGCAGGCTGAAGGCATGAGAGTGACCCAATGGCTCGGAGTACTTTGGAAAACTTTCTAGCAGTGGGGAGGAAGGCATGGGCGAGGTGGTACCACAGCAGCCCAGCAGAAAGCCCAGCAGCCCTGTGCTTTGGGAGGAGCTGGTCAAACCCACAAGCTCCTCACTGCCCACCTGGCTATCCACAACTGCATCTTTGCAGAGCTCAGGGGTACATGGCCTTGGGAAAACATTCTTCATGTACCTTCTGCTGCCATAGAACAAACCATAGAGGGTTAGGCTGGTGGGGAAAAAGGGAAGACAAGAAGGAGGGGGTCCTGTGGCCTGGATAAGCCAAGGACCCACCTCGCTTCTGAGGCAGGCAGGAGGGGCTATGTGGGCCCCTCCCTTGTCCCCCACAAGATGAAAGCCATTGGCAGGATGACAGTAATCTGTTCACGTTAACATTCACTTGCTAAAAGCCTTAGGCGGTATTTTCAATACAAGGTGAGGCTACCTTAATTAATTAATTTTTTTTTAGATGGAGTCTCGTTCTGTCGCTCAGGCTGGAGTGCAATGGCATGATCTCGGCTCACTGCAACCTCCACCTGCCAGGTTCAAGCAATTCTCCTGTCTCAGCCTCCTGAGTAGCTGGGATTACAGGTGCACGCCACCACACCTGGCTAATTTTTATATTTTTAGTAGAGATAGGGTTTCACCATGTTGGCCAGCTCCTGACCTCAAAAGACACACCCACCTTGGCCTCTCAAAGTGCTGGGATTACAAGTGTGACCCACCACACCGTGCCTGGTTACCTTAATTTATATACTTTAAGTCAAATGAAGGAAACCTTAACATTTTAAGTTCTCATTATGAACTACATTATAGTTACATTGAGTGACACACTTTCCTCCTGCCACCTCTGCTCCTAACAAAAAAAAAAAAAAGAAAAGAAAAAACATAGGAATGTTGTTCTGAAAGTCCACGGCTAGCACTCTCAAAGGAACCATACCAAGGTGAAAAGTACCAGCCCTGGAGAGACCGTGGGCATCCCTGGATTCCTGCAAGCTACCTGAGGGCTTCAGAATCAAGTCAGTTACTAAAGAGAGTTTGCCAGGAGACGACAAGGAACTGGGAGGGCAGGGTGATGGGGTCAGAGGAGAAAGCAAGAGGGTTGAAGCAGGGGCTTGGAGGGC